GCAGGCAAAACACAATCACAAAATCAAAGCGCATGATTAAAGATTTCGTATAACGGCATAAAACATGTCTTGGAATGAAATTAATTTAGTTCATTATAATAATCGTCCTTGACCACACTTCTCATTAACAGAAACATCACTATTGTGCCAATTTTTCCTGTACCATAAAACGTTCCTTGGAAATTCAGTCCCGCGGCGTTTTAAAGAATGACTGAAAGCAAGCAAATTTTTACAGAAATGTATATCAAATATCATCATTATTTAATATGTCTAATTCTAATTAGGCATTTTGCAAAGCGACTGAAAACAGATAGGCTCTTTGTAAGATTCCCTTGTGATTCCCATTTTCATTAAAAACTCCTTTTTAATGAAAATATACCTTTGTAATACATTTATCAGAAATAATAAAATAATTTCTTGCCGTGTATATTTTCTGAAATTCAATTAAAAGATTCCTTTTTATTACATTAAATACGTGATATTACGGCAAATTATTGCTTGTGAACTTTGTACCTGATAATTTTTTTCACATTCTAAAGTGGGTGTGTGTAAAGTATCAATTACGGCAAAGTACATGATTGTCTGCATACAGGATGGTCCACAATTGGAGAATATTTAATTCATTTAGATTTTAGTAGATTCATTTAATATTATTTTTTTATAGGAACTAAATGTTACTTCTTGTATTTTTATAGAGTCGCTGTGCTAAAATGAGAAATTGTTCTCTCAAGAATCTAGAATACGTGTTTTACCTTAAGTTTGTTTTACCTCATTTATAAATAACCTTATTCTAGATTACAGATCTTGGTGGACTTTGGACTCTGAACACTTCATTGTTCCGGCTTCTCGCTTACATAGAAGGTCGTCACATTTGAACGCCGACGAGTTCGTCGGGATTAGAGATAACAGGATTATGTTATTGAATCACTAAAACGTATTTGGAATCACCAAAATACTACTAGGAACCGAGAACAGTTTCTTTGTAGAATTATTCAACACAATAATTGATATATTAAAATACAGTATGATCGAAAAAAACGGCGTTCAGTTGCTCAGATTACGATCAATGACATTCCCCATATAATTTAATTTTGCATATAAAATGACAGCGGTCTTTTTTTTCATAGTCATCGCTGACGCTGTTTTTTTTCGATCATACGGTATATCTATTGTATTTATTGTACTATAAAAAATGTACAATACTCTGTTTATACTTTATTTACGACTGATCAAAACAATAAGCGTGTGCTGACAAATATTGATGCCCAAAATCTCGCGCTCCTGTTAGCGTATAACCCAAACCAAAAATCTTTGCGTCGAGACTTAACAGGGTCCAACTGGGTTTTCAATCTTCTATTTCGTTATTCTTGTACATTTTCCGCTTAATTACAAGCAACTTTTTTTACTTTTATAATTATATTCGGCTAAGAAACTAAAATAATCGGGTATTTTCTGTACAAGCAGGTATTGAAAGAGTGAGTCTTCAATAAGTGCAAAAAGAAACATATTTTCTCTTAAACGTTTTTCAAATAACTCTAAAATAACCGAGTTATTCAAGTTTGAAAATTCAAAAAAATTGATTTATTTTTTAAAAAAATTTGAGAGCCACCGGATTTTTTCTGTATTTGCATCACTTTCAGTGCCGTAACGATAGAGTGGAGCCGTAACCATGGTAATATCATAGATTAAGAAACTTTGAATTTCATTCAAAGCTAAGAAATTATACCGTGGGAAAATTTGCGGCAAATAGGCATTTCTAAAATATACAGGAAATTTAAAAGACAATGCAAGATTTTCAACATTTTTTTTGCGAAAAAAAAACTCATAGACCTGTTCCTGGGTTTGAAATATACCAGCCCTAAAAATATTTGTACTTATTTAAGACTCACCCCGTATATCTAAAATTTAAATATTTTCCAAAAAATAAATTAAAATACTGTCCTGATTTGCACGTGCTTTTATTTACATCAGGCAAAAATGAAATGTGAACGACGTGTACAATACAATTAAATACAACATCAATACGTCCAATAAAGTCACAGTGTGCAAAAATAATTGGTAAAAATTTTACATTTTTATTGATAACTTCCGGGAAATTAAAAACACTTTTTGGTGCCACAAATTAATTCTTCTGAAATTTCTTGACGTTGTACATCGTTGTATCGATATGACAATGTTGCCATCTCCTACGTTATCCACATTCTGTCAACTTTTCCACTATAAACTGTGGGACTCTAATCCTCCGATTTCGCTGACTTAAAAGAGTGAGTAACAGTAGTTAATATGTGGTTTCTATCGGACTTTGAACTGTTGGATTCCCTATAGCGACTACTAATTACATTGTTTGTCCGCTTTTTAAGGAGAACTCGTTATATTACACCGATGAAATTGCTCCTAGTAGGCGTATACATATAAATGCCCCTAGGACCTTCATTTTTTCCCTCTAATTCGAAAGTACGGATTAATCGTAACCCGCCCACTTGATACGGGAAATGCCGTGTGTCAGGTACAAAGTCCAACAAGATTTCGCACTATTTCAACACGTGCTACTCGAGGCTAGAATCCCCGTACCCAGTTGTCTGTGAGATCGCAATTAAAAAAAAATAATTGAGCGGAGACAAAAAAATCCTTGTTGGAAAATCGTAGCAACTATTATTTCCATGTAAATTGTGAACACGATCAGAACAAAATCGCAAAAAATGTGTATTTATATTAAATTATACTAAATGTTAATTATAGGATTAAATCGAAGATATTGATAAAAATGTTTATAAAATAATGACGTAATATACGAGCAAATTTATACAACATGTTTATTAATAATATTAATTTGATTAATTAAATTATTTTGATTATCGATATGCGGGGGGGAGTCAATAAACTTAGACATGTATGCATGTCATATACAGTGTGATCGAGTAAAAGTGATGTTATACCTAAACTTACATATGTATGTGGTTAGGCGGAGAAAAACAGAAATTAAAAATATGCATGCAGCCATTTTTTTAAGTGTTATTGATATGTAGGTACCGTATGATGTATGATCGAAAAAAAAACGCGTCCAGATAGCTTGAACATGACGACCAATGACATTTCCCATATAATTTTACATATAAAATGACAGCGATCTTCATTTCAGAGCCATCGCTGACGCCGTTTTTTTTAGATCATATTGTATAACCTTAGATTAAGGGTATAACATTTCAATTGTTTAATTTATAGAGACTACACAATCATTACTGAATATTTTGATCTATTTTTTCATTTTTAAAGTAGATAGTCATAATATTTTCTTTTACGCATAAAAAAATGTTAAATATTTCTTTCTTTTCCCAAAAAATCCAAAGTTGTGTTTATAAGTTTAAATTGTCTCTAAAATTTGACGAATTTTGATACTAAATAAGTACGCTTTACCTAAAATCAAAGATTTTTGGGAAAAGAAAGAAACATTTAACATTTTTCTATGCGTTAAAGGGAGGAAATATGACCCCTATCTACTTTAAAAATAAAAAAGTCGGACCAACAACTCGGGGAAGATTTCGCCAGACGACATCTAAAAAATCAGAAAATACGATTTGTCTGTGAATTCAAATGAAAGACTAATACCGTATGATCGAATAAAAACGGCGTCAACGATGGCTATGAAATGAAGATCGCTGACATTTTATATGAAAAATTATATGGGAAATGTCATCGATCGTCATTTCCAAGCCAACTGGACGCCGTTTTTTTTCGATCATACGGTATAATATGTATGTATAGACAAAAAGAATAAACTCTAACTTGCTAGACAGTATCGTTGTCCATGCATATCCTGTATATTTATGTTCTGCCAGAGTTTCAATTGATGCAAATAAAATCGGTAAATATATATATGTTATGTAGAAAACTGTGCACGAGCTTCAAGCGTGATTGACCAACTTGGTTGGCAATATGCCGAAAAATATTTTTTTTCCATTTTCCCGCATTTTTAACAACCTCCCATAACTTTTTTGTAGAAAAATAAATAAAAACATGATTAATACCATTCCTAGAGGTGTATTTCTAAAACGCATTAGATTCTGATTTACTATATACTAATGACAATATGATGATAATTATAAAGTGTTTATTAAGTATTTGCTTATATGTTTTCGAAAATTTTGGTGGATTAATCAAATATATTTTTTTTAATTTGGTATCTAAAAATGTTAGTCAGTATGCCTAGTTTGTAATATGACTCAGTTAGATAGGTAGTTATAAGAATCTTTTTAGTTGCCCAATTAGGTAGTTATAACTACCTAAATGTTTTCAAAAATTATTAGATATTCAAAAATTATTATATTCTAAATTTTAAAGGATCAGTTAATTATTACCAGAATTTTTTTTTAATTTGCATAAATTTATATTTGTTTTTATTTATACTACTACTAAAAATATTCAAAAATACTCTTAGATATTCTTTTAGAAAATTATTCACGTTATAAATTATAAATCTATTCTTAAAGGTTTTCTCAAACACTCCTCAAAAAGATGATAAAACACAAAGAATAACAAGGCAAACAAAAAAGGGGAGTTATTTGGGGTATTACGCATTGAATGCATTGAAATTTGCGAAAAATACCACGAAAGAAATATGTATAACGTTATAATAAAGCATTTTGTACCTAAGCCTATAATCTTTACAAATAAAATACAGTAGTTGAACTTTGTACTACCTGGAGAAATTGAACTTTGGAACCGCAAAAAAAAACGTGCATGTTGACTAAAAAGTGTTGAAATTAATATTACAAAATTGCATTTTTGATAATTTGTATTAAAGTAGGCGCTTTGTGAATTTTGTAATAGCTTTATTAGCCCCTGTAGTAATCCTTCAAGAACATAAAAAATAAAAAACATAAAAAAATGTAAACAACTAAATATATAGGTATATCTACCCAAATACTTTAAGAATTTAAATATGTAGGTATTGGTATATTAATTCTTAAAACTGAAGCTGTAGGTAATACAAAGTCACTTACCTTCTCAAGACATTCCTGTCCAATGGACTTAGGATCGACCCTTATTTCAAAGACAACTGAATTGGCTTGACTGATCAAACACCACATTTTGATGACAGGCTTTTCTGAATTATTATCGAAGACACGTTTAACTCTGATTGATTAGAGTTAAAAAACAGGAATTAGTCTATGCTAAATTAATTATTCTTTGAGAGAACTCGCGGATATCAATAATTATAGAATAAAGCACTTCCATGCTAGTCAACAGCTGGTATGTTTTTAATCGAGCGAGGCCTGGTGCGGTGCGCTCCTAGTGTTTTGTTTTGGGTCGCGACGTTGTCAGATCGATCAAGTTTAGCTTATTTTCCGCGTTTTCTTATATCGTAGTTCTTACTTTATTAAAATGTTCTTGCAGTTTAATGTAATTTAAGCTTGTTATTATGTTTTCTTTATGCACTGTTATTTCCTGTGACATAAGTGCAAATACATATTTTCACAGCTGGTAAATCTCGATAAAAGAAACATATTTTCTCTTTACCGTTTTTCAAATAAGTCCAAAAGAACCGAGAAATTTTAGTTTGGAAATTAAAAAAAATAATAATTTGTTGCTTCAATTTTGAAAACCTCCAGTGGTTTTCTTTTCTGGGTTTTCTTTCTTGTAAATTTACTATTATGTTGCTACTATCTATGTTGCCATATTCTAGATCTAGATAACTAAATTTTTTAAAGGTTCATAATTATAATTTTAGAAGATTTTTTCATAAAACATTTAATCATTAGTTGATTAAAAAAAGTATACCATTAAAGTTGTACGCACACTGGCGCGATCACGGCCGCGATCACGGTCACGATCAGGGATTTAAGTGTACAAACACTTTATCGCTGCCCTGATCGTGACCGTGACCGCGGCCGTGATCGCACCAGTGTGCGTGTAGCTTTAAGCTGTACGCACACTGGCGCGATCAGGGCAGCGATACAGTGTTTGTACACTTAAAGCTGTACGCACACTGGCGTGATCACGGCCGCGATCACGATCAGGGATTTAAGTGTACAAACACTTTATCGCTGCCCTGATCGTGACAGTGATCGGGGCCGTGATCGCACCAGTGTGCGTGTAGCTTTAAGCTGTACGCACACTGGCGCGATCAGGGCAGCGATACAGTGTTTGTACACTTAAAGCTGTACGCACACTGGCGCGATCACGGCCGCGATCACGATCAGGGCAGCAATAATATGAGCGATCATTCTAGCACACACCAACGCGTTCATGTTCACCGCCGCACCTATATGTAGTGATCGAGCTATCCTGTAGGAATGATCGCTCATGTTATCGCTGCCCTGATCGTGATCGAGATCGCGGCCGTAATCGCGCCAGTGTGCGTACAGCTTTAAGTGTACAAACACGTACTGTATCGCTGCCCTGATCGCGCCAGTGTGCGTACAGCATAAAGCTACACGCACGCTGGTATCATCATTAGTTGATTAAAAATAGTATACCATTAAAGCTGTACGCACACTGGCGCGATCACGGTCACGGTCACGATCACGATCAGGGATTTAAGTGTACAAACGCTTTATCGCTGCCCTGATCGTGATCGTGATCGCGGCTGTGATAGCACCAGTGTGCGTGTAGCTTTAAGCGGTACGCAGGCAGGGCAGCGATAAAGTGTTTGTACACTTAAATCCCTGATCGTGATCGCAGCCGTGATCTTCTAAAATTATAATTATGAACCTTTAAAAAATTTGGTTATCTAGAATATGGCAACATAGATAGTAGCAACATAATAGTAAATTTACAAGAAAGAAAACCCAGAAAAGAAAACCACTGGAGGTTTTCAAAATTTAAGCAACAAATTATTTTTTTTTAATTGTCAAACTAAAATTTCTCGGTTATTTTGGACTTATTTGAAAAACGGTAAAGAGAAAATATGTTTCTTTTATCGAGATTTACCAGCTGTGAAAATATATGTATTTGCACTTATTATTCACCCTATATAATAGAAATTTTTGGATATCAATTTTTTACTGTATTATTTTGTTAGATATTACTTTATTATTATATACATATTTTTTAATTTCATTACTTTCATTACACAGGATTTAGCGAATTTTTATTATAAAATATGAAACTAGATATCTATAAAATTAATCAATCTAAATTGCTTTTAACTTTGGCAACGCTGCATGCTAATTTATTTGGTCTTCATTTGAAATGGAAAAAAAGAGCTGAAAATTTAGAAAAGAACTTTTATTTCTAAAATCACGATAGACTTCATCACGATAGACTCAATCACGATTAACTTATTAAAAAGTGACACTTTGTGATATTATTGTAAAGAAAATGTCAGTAATATTTTAAATTTTAAAGACACAAAACTGTTTCCTATTAAATTCAAATTTTTAAAATACCCTGTGATCGAAAAATAGGCGTTAGAGTTGGCTTGGATCATGAATGATGATTTTATATGCACAATGTCATCGATCTTCACATTTTCTTTTTCGGTCATATGGTACAATATATGATCGAAAAAAAAACGGCATCAGCGATGGCTATAAAATGAAGATCGCTGTGATTTTATATGTAAAATTATATGGGATATATACATGGATATATAACATCGATGTTCATTTCCAAGCCAACAGAAAAAATGGAAAAAGACATCTTTGGGATAAAACAATAGAGCTGATTTTTATATAATTTACTGAAATAATTTCACCACGGTTAAAGGTCAAAAATTTTGCAAAAACAAGTGCTGTAAATTTTTGAGATAATATTTATTTTTCTATTCTGTAATCTTTTAATCATTCGACCTTTGATATTTTTATTTAAGATAACAATCGAGCTATTAACGTATATTACATTAATTATACATTTTTTTAAAAACATTTTTCATTTTTTAAGTACCTATTTCTCAAAATAGCACCTCATGTAGATAGGTTTCTTATTTAATAAGCTTATAATATTAACTTAAATTTTATTTGATCAGCGTGTAAATTAAGCAAACACATTAAAACTCTGTAAATATTTTATTTTTAGCCATAGTTCTATAATTAATTATAATATTCTGTTTCCTTGTACATTATTTTTGTTATTTATAGCTATTTTTGCCTGTTTTTGGGCTTCTTCTTTAAATGCTTTTGTATTTAGTTTCTTTTCCAATCTTCTTTCGCGTTTGTATTCTTTAAGAGCCTTTTTTCGATCTCTTCGTTCCTTGGGCTGTTCATTTTTTGGTCTTATTGACAAATGGGATAATTGAGAAATAATTGACTGACCTAAATAAACAAAATCATGTCATTAGGTTCTGAAGAATTATAAATAGAGATGTACAAGATACTTTCTGAAATACAAATTGCTCCTAAGCAAAGTGTTTCATATATCAGTTAAAAAATACTTTTGGAAAAGGTATTTGAAATACTAGATATAAAATACGTATTTTCTAAATACTTTTATTAAAATAAAAAGACAGCATGATCGAAAAAAAAGACGGAAATTTTTTTTGGCGCATTCACCATTTTGTCAACATTTTTTAAAATATTATTTGAAAAATTTTTTGCTGCATTCACCATTTTGTCAACATTTTTTTTGTTCTTATTTATACACTAATATCTGTAATATTTTCGTTTTAGTTTGGGCTAAAACGCATTAAGTAAAAAGAGATACAACCAGTTTTCGATAAACACATTATTTTAGATTCCAGTGAAAATATAATTAAATTTAAATTAAATATAATAAACATTATATACAGTATCCACCATAAAGTTGGATCCATATGGACTTTTTTTATATTAGAGTTTTAAAAAATCTTTTTGTGGCAATCATTCCTGCTTTGAAAACAACTTAAAATGCACCAAATCAAAGTTGACAGCTAACATCTGGGAGCTGTCAAATACAAAATATTTAAAAGAAATTTTTAAAAATCGGTTAAATTATTATTATTTTAAAAAAAGATGACTAACAAAACTATGTTTCAATTTTGACTTGCTTGCATTTTGGTGCATTTTAAGTTGTTTTTAAAGCAGAATTGATTGCCACAAAAAGTTTTTTTTAAACTCTAATACCAAAAAAAACCGTCCATATGGATCCAACGTTATGGCGAATACTGTAATTATTGAATGTCTTCCCCGAAAAACGTTATAACCTGTTGTAACCTACATTTTTTTCAAAATAGAGATTTCAGTGAAATAAGGTTGTAATTTTCATAGGTATAACGTTTTTTCCTCGGTTTTTTCACTGAAATTTCAATATTGAAAAAATTGTTGGTTACAACCGAGTAGCCATTCAATTATTACATTAATGTTCTAAAAAAATTCTAAAGCGATATTAACCAAAATAAATTTGACTTATTTATATTACTCACCTTACTAATTTTTGAAAATCAGCTCAATTTTTCTGTTCTTTACTGATGCAAACTTATCAGTAATATCGTCGAATTTAATTAATTAATTATATTCATTAAAGTCTATTTAAACAAACATTTTCATTAAAATTAAGCTTATAGAGTCTAGCGTTTTTTTCTAAAGCATCGGCTATTGTATTTTGATTTTTTTTTAATTCCTTAGCATTAACTGACATTTTAAATGTTCTGCAGAATCCCCGTGTTTATGCAAAGATCTTGTTATATTTACGAAATCAGTGAAGCCTTCTTTATTCCAAATGCCATGTTTATTAGAAAATAGTAAACACGACCAACAAAATAATTTTTGTAAAACAATGATACTACATAGCCAATTAAAATCAGAAAACCTGGAAGACTTAAATTTAATATTATAAGATTTACCACTTTTTCTTATTTCTTTTTTGCAATTTATGGTTAAAGTTTCAGTTGGTCACCTTTGAGATAAAACATCCCTCTTATCTTCATCTGTCCACCGTCTGAAGGGAGTTTCCAATAAATTGCACACCAAGTCATTAACTGAGTTCATTTTTTAACATATACGCACAAACAAAACAGTTTTAAAACACAACAACAAAACAAATAGCAAAAATTAACAAGTTAAATCAACAAAAACCATTAACAAACAACAATAAATAATCAACCACAACTTTACAGTCTTTACACGGTTTGTCTTTCTTTTTTACGAATTCACCATTGTTGTTTAAAGTGTCCAATTTTTGTTTTTCATATCAATTAATTTTATGTGTTTCAGTCAGAACAAAATCTTTGAAACATGTTCTTTAAATAGCTTTGGCACCCATTTCATTTTAAAGAATGAAATGGGTGCTTTTCTTTAATCCATTCATTAATACGAGATAGAAACAGAAGCATAAAAATGTTGTAATTTGAAATGAAAAATGAAAATACGTATTTTGTATCTTATATCTGTATTTTAAATACTTGTATCGTATCAGAAATAAGTCACATCTCTGATTATAAACCAAATCTGAACTTACCTGCAACAGATTTTGACCCAGTGCCCTGAAATACTCCATTTTGTGCATTTAATTCATTTAATGCTTTTGTAGTAAGTTTGTTTGCACCCAAAATATTTTTTGGCAGACCTGTTTTTTTATCAATTTTAATTTTATTACTCTGAAAAAATGCCAATTAGATTATTTAGGAAAGTTGATAAGTATTAAAAAAAAGTTCTTACTGAAGGTTCAACAATTAATTTAGGATGATTATATATATTCGAGTATGTGCTCAGAATAGTTTCACAGTCCCACTTCTCTGTGTCATCAATTTGAATATATTTCATTTCATCCTCACTTTCATTATCAGATTCATTATCAACAAATTCTTGAGTCTTATTAGTAATTTTTTCATTGCTTAGTTGTTCAGTGGTTTGTTGTTTGGCGAATTCTTCAGCATATTGAAGTAGTATATCAGATGATTCCAATACATGGCCTTCTATTTCTTCTGTGTCTAATGCTCCTATTTCATTTTCATCATAATCTGCATACATCTGCAATGTAACATGCCATTATAATACACACAGTTTCAGTTTTTAATGTTATTTATTAAAAAACACCTTTTCAAATCTGTCATCCAGTAATGTTAACTGATCATTCCTTCTCATCACTGAGCTGGTCATTGAATAATTAGTAAATCTAGATTTTGTTTCTTCTTTAGAAAAGGACTGCTCTGATCCCAAAGACCTAAATAATAATAAAAAAAAACATTAAACTAGGAATATAAACTTAATATTAATGGTGTACCTAACATCATCTAACCCCTCACTGTTGTAGTCAGAATATTCATAGTTATCTTCATCGTTTTCATCAAAATAATCATTGGTAGAACTAACTCCCTCAGCTAATTCAATAAAATTATCTTCTAGCTGGTTTTCAGGATCGTCGTAGTCAAAATCATCGTCCATTGCTGCCACTATATCAGGATCTAGATCTAACTGAGGTCCTAAAAGAAAGAAAAATAAATGATTTTTTTTCTAAATAATATGTAAGTAGGTACCTGATATTGGGACCGCTTTATTCAACATTCCAACTTCTTCCTCTATGGTTGATGCAAACACAGAAGATGGAAGTTTAATTTTATATTTCTCCTCTTTTCTCTTTTGTACTTCTTCATCAATATGTTCTGGCCATTCCATACCATAATCCTTTGGATCTGAATTAAAAAAAAACATTCAGTACTTTATGTCATAAATCTATCTATACCATCTACCTTTGAGATGTTGCAAATAATTGTAGTCATCATCGAAATAAATGCCATATTTATGTTGTTCTTCAATACGTTTCTCTTTTTCAGCTTTCGTTTCCTTGCCAGTTAGAGGCACAAGAACTCTTTGAGGTGCCGTTTCATCTGCAACTAGAGGGTCCTGCTGACTTCTGTGTACTAATTGAAATGTAACTCCTTTTAGTTTTTCCTTCTTTTTTGGCTAAGCGAATCCATTATATAAACAATAATACTGTTAAAAATCGTAAGTGATACCGTTATTTCAAACTTACCATTTTAAGAATAAACTAATATAACAGAATTAAAATAAGATTTTTAGATGCGATTGAAGTTCGTAAATATTTTCCACTAAGATTTTCCATCAAAGAATTTTTCCATGCGTTCCTAAACCAAAGATTGTTCTAAAACCAGAGATATGGAAGTGGGAGAATGAGCTTCGACGAGTGCGCATCCAAATTTTTGTCGACGGCAAGATGGCAGACATCTTCCAGGTCTCGCTGTCACTTCCCCTCTTTAATTGACATCACAGATTGACATCGGTTTGTTTTGTTTTTCGTTTGTGTTGTTATCTATAATTATTATCCTATGTTATTATCTCAATTATTCTTGTCTCTGATTATTCTAAACACTAATTCAAAAAGGCTTGTTGTATATTCATAGTCATTCTAAGAAAGCTAATACGCCAGGAATAATGATTAGTTTTCATGTGTAAGTTTATACAACATAATCGTGTTTACAGATGATCCAAAACTGTTTATTTTTAGTTTTCCTAAAGGCGATTTGTAAAAATCGTGATTGTAATTGGGAATGGTCAAAATAAGTGTATGATGTGGCCATTTAAGGAGGATGTTTTTATTACGTGTGGAGGAATGTTTGTATCATAATTTCTTAAAAATATCAAGTTAGTGGATTAATAGCAATTTTAGACATATATTTTATCGAAGAGTGTGTTGATAAGACTAAAATAAGCTTTATGTTTTATCTTTTTTTTTTTAGAAGGGAGATGGTTTGTATCGTAGAATACATTACAGTATTTAATATCGTGTACTTTGATATTCTTTCTTAATTTACTGTAATTTGTTTCCTATAATGCCAAATCTTGACAATATGGTGAAGGTTGATTTTTGATCTTATTAGTTTTATAAGAATAATAATAATAATAGAAATACAAGACTAAAATTAAGACTTTAGTTTGTGATTTATATTAAGATCTTTCTTATAATATTTGTTATGTCTTAATCTTAATACTATATTATGCTTGGTCTGGAAAAAATAAATGTTAAAATATCTTAATTTTGCATATCCTATTCCATCCTTAGGAAAATATGGTTTATAAATCATATATGCTAAGAAAATCACATAAATTAGGTGTAAGAATAGAGAAATCTTAATGTAGCAGAAAAATTAATGCAATATATGTATAAGCAGAATTAAACAAGGTCACTGATGTTAATGTTGCTGAAGGCTGATTCTACAATTTTAATTACGGAGGCTAAAAGGCCTTTTAAGGCCTCCGTAGTTTTGATGGAATGTTAAAAAAACCTATTATGAACATGACATGGAGCTACAGCATTTAAAAATTAAAAGAAAAAGTTGTTAATTTCCCGAATTTTTAATAAAGCACTTTTTAAACGTAGCATAATAATCTAGATAGGAATCTAGAGTTTTATTTCTATATAATTTTATTGACTATGAAAATACATAATAAGCGTTCACGTGTTGTACGAAATATTAAAATAATAATATAAATAATATACCGCGTACTATGATTGAAAAAAAAAATAGCGTCAGCGATGACTATGAAATGAAAATCGCTGTCATTTTATATGGGAAATGCCCTTAATCGTCATTTCCCAGCCAACTGAACGCCGTTTTTTCAATCATATGGTATATATTGACAAAAAACACTGAAAAGCACATATTTGTTTTCTACTGAAAATAATTCCAAAATTACTCACGCTCTGGCAACATCGAAGATGTGCGCATGCGTAGTGTCTAAGACTATATGCAGCAATAACTCGTTTCAAGGTCAGCCACCGGATCCACACCATTACCATAAAAGATGGCTGAATGCCGAAAGGCAAGTGGCCGTTAATGTAGAAAAAAAAATCCATAATTACTTTTCTTTTTAAATTCCTGTTTAATAAAAATCACATTTGTTATATAAATTTTTTATATATTTTTCTAAATATATTCTCAATACATAATTAGCATTACATAAATAAATAACATATCTATCCTACTCTTTTTAAATTATTTCTAATATGACGATAAGTATAATGATATTGTTTATATTCTTATATTCTATTTTTTAAAGATTCCCACAATTAAAAAAGCATACTGTTCTTAAAACCGACTAATTTATGATAATTTACAGTTAAATATCATGCATATACATATATGACATTTTGAATAAGGACAAATTCTTAAAGTTTTTAATATTAGCCAGTGTTAAATATACAGAGCACGATTAAAAGTTGCCATATTGGTATGAAGAAATAAAAAAAATAAAAAAATAATAAATCAATTTAACAATTTAAAATACCCGAAAAAAGTTTGTGCTAATTATAAACAAATGGAAGTGATTTCCTACTAGTGATGGTTCAAATAAATTTGCATTGAATCCATAGATTCATGCTTGACATAGTGATCTAATAAAATAATATTAAATAATAAAAAAAGTTATTTTAAAAATTCCGTTTTTTTTTCATTTGAAATCAACTATAACCTAGGATCTAATTCATTCTTGCAACTGAGTTTCGTTGACATTCGTACTGCTGACGCCATCTTTTTGATCTTTGTTCTCTTTGAAATCCATAGGCGCCACAATGGGAATAGCTGCCTTAGGCCTCTTTTGGGGTACGGATCTTTGAATTACTTGCTGATCCGTAGAATAGTACGTTATACCTCCTTGAGGTTGGTACAAATCAGTAGGCTGAGTCTGGAAATGATATTGGAAAATTTTTTTATAACATTTTAACAAAATTTAGATTAAGGTGAGCTTATATACATCCGTCATGCGTGATCCGTCGTTCCTTCACACTAATCAGGTTGATGTATAAAATGTCATTTTTGAACTAAACCAATAAAATTATTAAAAACAACGACGGACGACGGATGCATGTAAAGCCCCGTTCTGTCGCTGACTACACTGGGTGACACTTCAAAGAACCAATGATAGTTGCTTAAATTTAAAATTGTCAATTGTTTGCTCGATGCCGGTTCCGTGTGTTTCTGCGGCAGTCGCAAAAACGCACCGTCTACCACTGGACTAATCAGGAAATGGTATGTTTTAAATATTGAAGTAATATAATAATATAATAGCTCCCGTATATAGCGTTCAACGCCTTGGGAGTAGCGAGGTACAGCTTTCCATGCTAGAGCCGTTCGGTATACAAGGAAGGTAATGTGGCTAGCACTACGATTGTGAATCCCAAGTACTCATTTAAGACTGAGTCGACCTAGGTACCCAAACTATTTTTATTTTAATAAAAATAGTCGGATGATAAAATGCCGGGTGTAGGATTCGAACCCACAACCTTGAGATTGGTAGACGAGAGCCTGTACCTCTACGCCACCGGGCACCATATATATTATATATGTTACGGTTAAGGTCCGATGTCCGGTTAATGTCGACATTACCCGGTTAATCTCGAGAATAATGATTAACTTGAATTAACAATGTAATAATAATAATTGAATGGAAATTGGTGTTTGGGTGTTTTTTGACATGAGAAATTTGATTTTTATGTCAGTATGACTCCTACTTGTAGAGGGCACCACCTACATATTTTTTAACTGATTTAGGATGAAAAGTTATTACTTTTCAAAACAGTTAAAAAATATATATAGGTGGCGCCCTCTACAAGTAGGAGTCATATTAACATCAAAATCAAATTTTTCATGTCAAAAAACTCCCAGATACCAATTTTCATCCAAATATTGACGTTACTTCAGAAATTATTGGGAAAAATCTCCAAATAAAAATGACTAACTACTATAACCTGCATTTCTGAAACTAAGCATTTTAGGACATACATGTATACAAACATTTTTACTTATTTTTATCTGCAGAATATGCTGCTAAAGATTCCGGAATACAGTTCGGACCACCCTGTATATTCCCAAAAATATTCTTTTTAGTAAAAAAACAGCCTACGCCACTGTATTCTACGTAAAAAATTCTACCAGTGAGCCGAGTTACATTTCTTTCTATGTAAAGTGAAAACTGCTGATAGCTCTTAGTTAAGTGGACCAGGCGAAGTCGATTTAGTGCGCGTTCGCCTTTATAGTGGCGAAAAATAAAAAAAACGAGTATTTTCGTTAAATGCATTGAAAATACTCTAAAATTTCAATTTGTGCAAGTAGCCTACTGAAACTGCAATTGTGATCTCTAAATTGGTGCGACCGTATGCGTACCCTGCGACTGTGATTTTAATATTTAAATATTGTAATACCTATAGGCTTGGAGTATTTCAGTTGGTTTCAACAAACTCCGACCGCAGTGCTTCAACGCGCAACGACAAAAATCAGAAATTATCAGTACCGATTTCACGCTTCCGTCATGTTGATCGCATTAAAATAATACTGAAATCGTGGTTCTGTCATAATATTAAGTATTTTGGTTTTTTGCTAGTGCAGTTATTGAGACTATAAAACACTCAGGTACGAGGTTTGTGTGATGTAACGCTGTTTCGGGTAGTAAAAACTAAGTAAAAAAAAATCGAACTAGACGTCGCGCGTCGTGTCGTCTTGTGTTGTGACAATTTCAATGTTAATAAAATTGCCGAAAAAATGTTAACGCGTAAAAAAGAGCGTAATTAGGGCGTTGTTGGGTACAATAACATTCAATAACTCAACTTTTCCGGATATTCAACTCTTCCGAAACATTTTATAGCTTCATAGTTTCTCACACTGATTTGATCAAAAGCAAAAATGGATTCAAGCATTTCGACGAAACAAGTGAGTAAACAAAGTGCTCGTTACATAATCGAAAAATTAAATAGACATACGAGTATACTATGAGAGGATAAAATATAATTTGAAATATTAATGGCATACTTTTTTTAATCAACTAGTGATTAAATGTTTTATGAACATCTAAAATTATAATTATGTACCTTTAAAAAAATTCGTTGTAGTCGAAATAGCCCCAATTATGCTCCACTAGCAAAACCGGTGATTAAAACTATGCTTGCTACCATAGTTGAACTCATCTAAAAAGTTTTTTTAACTGGAATAATTGAATAATAAATTATAATACAAGTTAGACGTTCTGAAGATATCAAAATATTTACTTTATTTTTAGAATTTTCACAAATTATACTTCCTAACACTTTTAGAAAAATTAAATAATAAATGTTTCGTATTCTCGCCATTTAAACCCGTGTATTTGAAAGTACTAGTTGTTTACGATATTCTCCGACGGTGGCAGCACCTATGTCATTGTGTCTGTACATATAACTTAAAAATTAAAAAAAATATTTAATTTAATTATTATTCCTTTAAGATTATTCTCGGACATAATGAATTATTAAACAATGATCAGCTGATTAGTTTATGTTTTTTTACATCAGCAGCCCATATAGGTTCTAATAAATTAAATCTTTATAAACTCCGCAATTACACATAATTTAGTCTTGTTTTGACTAGTGGAATCCAATTTGTGACAGGGCACTGACTATGTTTAACTCATTAGACAACAAAATTACATTTGCATTACAATCGTAACTAAATTAATACTGGTTGCCTAAAAATTCAAACTAGATTGGATTCTCAGTCTAATATGAAAGTTTGCGAATTTAGCTTATCTCTAATTTAGTCTTACCACAGCGTTGAACTGGCCCTGGTAGCTTTGTACAAAAGGAGGCTGAGCCCCGGCCACGTATCCGACGATCTGCGGTTGTGCGGGCGGCGCCGCGATAAACGGGGGCGGCGGCCCGGCTTGCAGATATGCCTGTGGTGGGGGTTGAGGTGGAAACGCCGCCCCCGGAGGGAACGGTGCCTGTAGCAGAGGTGGCGCGGCCGTCACCGGCACCTGTTGGGCCACCAAGGCGGGCGGTGGTATAGGGGCTGTCAGAATCGGCTGCTGACTGGCGGGCGGAGGAGCAGCAGAGTTATAATCTGTGAAAATAAAAGTATTTTTATAGCTTATGTTCATTTTTTAGTATCGTCGAGCAGAGTTGCAAGCTTACAGAAAACTTACATCTTTTTTTGACTTAAATCATTTTAATGCCTTAAGTCGTTTGATTTTAAGTCATATTTTGAAAGCTGACTTAAGATTTTAAGCTTCATTCAGAACCTCCCAATTAGTGGAATAAATTAGTGGTTTCAATTATACTTTTTAGTTTACGATCATTCACAATGTCTAAAAAACAAAATTAAAATTGATAAAATATCCCAGCAACAGCTTGCGGTAGTCTGTTGTATTCATAGAGAAAGCATAATATTTAGCTTACAAAACAATAAATTTTTGATTTCTAACCAAAGTTTTCCTTGACGGGTGATAATCAAAGGCCAAAATGACATTCCTTGCAAATTTTGAAGTATAATTAGTGGAAAAGTCAAAAGTTTGTTATCTTTTTCCACTAATGGAAAATTACTACCACTAATTATGACGTTCTGAGCGCTTACATTAAAATTAGGTGAACAAACTTCTACGGCTGATTGAAACTACTTATTTATTCCACTGATTTCGAGGATCTGAATGAAGCTTTTTTTTAAAATGATTTGTCATTTAAGTCTTTACTCCGAAATACAAAAAGACTTAAGTCTATTCCGCTGTACTGTTCGGGTCGCTACCGGGGGTAGGGTAAAGCGAGTGTGTGGCCGATGGAAATATATATTATATTTCAGAAATCTGCCTGGCTTAGCCCGATCCTGTAGTGTTAAGCCACACCCAAAATTCCAAACACACGTGCTTTGATTAAGGCTTGATTAAGGTTTGCACAGCTTTAGCATTTGCCATAAAATAGCGAGCAATTTGTTACAAAACCATGTAAACTATATATGACTGTAATCACAAAACTTCAATCTATTTCCGTATTGTAACGGAGTTTTAAATTATGTCTTTATTTTCTAGAAAAATTAGTCCAAACATACGGAATATCTTGTTGATGTTTGACCATCAAAATCTTAAAAATAAAGACGTTGTCTAAAAATGTGCTATAATACGGATATAATATAATCCTTTATCTTTAAATTCCTTCTTCATTTGTGTAAAAATACCTAACCAGTTTTACACAAGATGTTAAATGCCGAACGCTTATTTTGCTACTTTTTCGGACTAGCGAAATGGACTCTTAAGTCATTAAAAAAAGGCCTAAATATTTTAAAAGATTTAAGTCGTTTTAGAAAAGACTAAATCTTTTAATAATTTTAAGTCTTATTTTTCATATATTTTTATGACACGTTTTTAACAGAGGCATTTCTTTTTTAACTCTCAAGCGGCAAACCGGCAGAAGACCAAATACACTGACAATCTGAATCGCTAACGGATAAAAAGTTAGTTTTTCGGAAAGATAAACGAGGATTGCTATTATTTTATGTGGCTCATAAGACTGTTTGCAAATAATAAAATTTATTGTAAATTTATTACTCTCCAGTTTTGGACCCGCCTAAGTATCTATTTCAGGAACTAAGTGGGCTAGGACAAATCTGTGAGTAACATTTTTAGCTTTATAAAAAGTAGCATAGTAATGTGAAAACCGGATCTTTGTACCTCTGCTTATAAACGAGAAACTCTGTAAACACACAAAAATGGGGCATCCAGCACAAAGTACCACACAATTTAATTTTATATAAACAATTTTGGTGATAACATTAAAATTAATATTAACATTTAATAAAAGGTACTAAAATTGAATTCTGGTTGTCTTGACTTGAGGGTAATTATATTGATTTGTCATTTTGCTGACTTAATTTGCAGATCAGCATGATTTAAGTCAAAAATATAGACTTAAGTCATAAAAATGACGTTATATTGTTTTAAGTCTTAAAAAATTACTTGAAATAAAATGATTTAAGTCAAAGACTTAGACATTTGAACTTTAAGTTGAAATTGACTACGATTTAGAGCTCAGAGCAGCCAACGACCACCAATAAAATGATACAACGCGCACTAACGGCCACGTCCAAGCGGTCGCAACTTGGTCGCTGCCATACGTAATAATGTCATTAAATCGAAACAACGCGCACTAGCGTCCTGGCCGTTGGCTGGGCGCTGCGACCTGGCCGTCAGTGCGTTTGAGCTTTTAAGTGTTTTTAAAACTGACTTGTTGCAGCTCTGTTGTCGAGGACTTACCACTTGGATAAAAACTAAAATTCGCTGTAGGCGGAGTACCAGTTTCCGGTAACGATCTTTGTCGCATAGAACTATATCTCTTAGACCCTTTCTGTTCAGACTGTTGTAAACGTGGCGGAACACTGGCTTGTCTGTTCTGATTACTGCTGCCACCTTGTTTATTATTTTTAAAAGATCCCTCCTAAGTAAATAATCATTTTAAATCATACATAATCTAAAACCTACAGTAAAAAGTTACCTGAATATTCATTTGACTCATTTCTTTTTCTATTTCACCAATCTGATTATGAGTATTATTTTTGTTAGTAAAGTTTTGGCTCTGAATAAATTCATTATTATCTTTTCTGAAGTTACGAGGAGGTAACACTTTCTGTTGGTCATTTCTCATTCCTCTTTGCTGTCTAGTTTTGTTTGTAAACCCTCTGCAAGAAATAAAAAAAAAATAATAAAAGTTAATTTTAGTTTCTTCAAGCTTGTTTACTTGTAATCGGAGTCCTTTATTTCTTTTTTATTTTGTTGCTTCATCATCCTTCCAGAGCCTACCTTATGGGGCTGATTAAATCTATTCTGTTGTGAATATTCAGAGTGATCATTAACGTTAGATTGGTTTTCATTATAAACATTTTGATTTTTCGGTTTATCTCTTTTCTCTTGTCTATAAAACAAAATGAAAATAAAAAACGATAGAAAATAATTTTTCATCTATACCTCTCCACAATTTTAACATTATTCTCTTCCCTATAATCTTCTTCAGGATTTGATTCCACAGACTGGGACCTCTGTCTGTTATCTAGAAGAGTAAAACTTCAGTATAAATATTATTACATTATTTAGACCTCTACCTCCATCACCTAAGGGAGGAAATTCTTCATTGTTCTTGCCCATTCGCGCAGGTCCTCGACTTTGTATTGACTTCCTTGGTTTAACTGGAGCTGGTTTATTATAAGCATCTTCATCTTCCCATGTTCTTGTGTATTTATTTGGACCGCGACTAAAAAATTGACTTGTTTAATCAAAATTTCTTTAGGAATACCAAAATTATATCAACTGCAGTAAGGTCTATAGCAAGTATTTAAATTAGATTTTAAAAAAGATTTTTTTCAGAATAATACTGCTTTTGTGGCCTTATTGATTGAATGTTAAATGTATTATAATGCTCGTGCTCTTTACTGTTCTAAGATTTTATTATGTTCAAAATGTTTAATGTAGCAGTTATATATTTTATTTAAATTTAATGTACAGAAATATATTACACATACAGATGCTTAAGCATCTAGGTGCGCTAACCAGTTTGTGTAACCACAATCCAGTTTTGATTAATCATATTGTATTTTGTAATTGTTAATTATAATTGAATTATATTAAATGCGTAATTATTAAAAACTTACCTAAACTTCCTAGAGAGCATAAAAGACAAAATAGAGAAAGACCTAGTATTAAATAAAAATGAATGAAATATACAATACTTACCCATATCTTCTGCGCCTTCGTGCACGAGGAGGTCCATCTTCATTCCTAATATCATAACCATATATTGCCACAAGTTCAGAACGACTCTTAGGTGCTTGTTCTTGATCAATAAACCTATCGTGCTTCCATTTCTCCTTTTTGTCCTGCCAAACTTTCTTCTTGTTGTCCTTGTCAGCTTCAGCTGGTTCTTCAGCTTCTCTAAGATGAAAATTTTAGCTTATCTCAACAAACAAAAGTAAAGTTCACATACATATCAGCAGCAGTTCTGTCATCATGTTCATAAAATGTGCCTCTTTTCGGAATATATTGGGGATTTTTCTTATCTTCATCATCGTCAACCTTTTTATTAGGTGCACTCTCTTGACCATCACCTTCTTCACGTTCAAGAATTACACTTCCTAGGATGATATAAACCATTAAAAGAATGATAAAAGTAAATCTAAAAAATACCTTCTGTATCAGAGTGTGAATCCAGTCCTGAGGCTTTTGATCTAGCCTTAATGGCAGGTTGTTCCTCATCACTGTAACTATCCACACTGTCATATTCTGAGTTTTCTGGCGAAGTCTTTTCATCTATCACTGCCGTGGAAATTTCGGGATTTTCCTGTAAAATCATGATTCTTGTCAAACTTTAAATGTTTAATGGTGTAGACAAGTATCAAGGTGAAAACATTCAATGCGGTGAAGGTGCTCCACTTTACAAATACGCGACCCAGATTAATAGATCTTTCACTTTTGTCTTTTACCTGGCTTTTCACCGGGTCCTTGGCTTCGCAAATCACGGTTTCGTTGGCATTGTCCATAACAGGCTCTTATTTTAAGAAAAAATGCTACTTTGTGGAAGAAAACGTTTTGTTTAGATTTCGATTAAAAGTATCTAACGTTTCAACGTTTCTTTAGATATTATTTTATTTTCCCCATATCAAAAAGAGATAAAGCATTTTAATGTACTTCTGAGAATTTATAAAAAATATTCTGATAAAAAATAAAAAGTATCAGCTTATGAACTTATGTCTTATAAGTCTTATGTCAACGAATTGTGGTTATGTTCGTATTTCTATTTTTGTCTCGGTGGCTCACTCAGTGCCTTCTATTAAAAGATCAGCCTGCGGGCGAGATTTATGACGTCACGCTAGTTAGATATAACGGATTAATAAATATGTTGTAGAATACATGGAAAACATAATTATTCCTCAGATTTTTGGTTTGTATTTTAAAAATGATATAGTTTAAATGAAATATACATAATATACAGTTAATAACTACAACATATATACCTATTTATAGTAATAAATACTTTTGGCAAATAAACTATGAACCATACAAATGCAGCAAATGTTTTTACAATGTACAAATAATGTATAGGTACATAAGATAATGGGTAAAATGTAAATATATTTTAAATTTTGGGGTTTGAAAATCGATCTAATTTAACAAAAACATTTAATATTTACTAATAGTGATGTATTATTATTTGCATTCACAAAATTTATATGTATATTTTGCAAGTATCAATGTTCGAAAAATTATATTTACAAATAATACAATATTATCTAAAAAGGCGTCAGCGATGGCTATGAAATGAAGATCGCTGGCATTTTATATGTTAAATTATTCTAAAATTTTTCATTTTCTGGGATTTTAGGTTCGGGAAAAACGCTGATTAAGTTTTCATTTGTTTTCATTATTTTATTTGTTTTAAAAACGTTTCGGCTAACTATAGCCTTCACAGTGTTGTGTCATATGAGAAAAAAATAGTGTCGAATATAATCCAAAAATTACATATACAATATAATTCACACCTCATAATGTTTACTGCAATTAATAAACTAATATAAACTTATCAAAAGATGACCACATATTTTTTAAAATTATTATTCTTAACACTAAAATTATCTACATTGACTATGGAGTACGCAGTAAACATTATGTGCGTGGTGTGAATATTTTTTATGCAATTTTTTGGATTATATTCGACACTATTTTTTTCATATGACACAACACTGATGGAGGCTATAATGTTAGCCGAACCGTTTTTTTTAAAACCAAATAAAAATAATGAAAAACCAAATGAAAAATCAATCAGCGTTTTTCCCGAACCTAAATTCCAAGAAAATCCAAAAATTTAGAATATTTAGAATCAAGGATCAAGAATATCAAATTTTCCAAGATTGTAAAATTCTAGTTAATTATTTTATGTGTACAGTTATTTAGGGAATGTCATCGATGTTCATTTCCAAGCCAACTAGACGCCGATTTTTTTCGATGATACGGTATAATTCTTACGTAAAATGTAAATAACATTAGACCAATTAAAACAAAGAAATATGAATTTCTTAGTATTTTTAGTAACACCTTTATTCTTAAAACTTAATTTTGTAATTTTGTATTATGCAAATATACCAATTTTATTGTTATTTTATTCATATTGTATTCAGCCATCACTTAAATATTTGATATTAATTTGGTATTATAAATAATCAATACTATTCATTAAAAATTACTGAACAAATATATGTTATGCTTAACATACATTATATATTATTAAACAAAAACACATTCTTCTTTTAAACTGTATCAGTCTTGTCTTTACAAAAATCTTTTTTAAAATATGAACTCAAAATAATAATCTTTTTCATGATCTCTAATACACATATTCTTTTATTTTTCCCTAGATCATAATACCTACTTACGTGTTTGAATCTATCGAAGCTGAACCAGCAACACTTGGAGTGGAGATTCCACAATATGAATAAAATAAACATAATTGTCCAGTTTTCATTAATACCATCATGGGAGAATATTATTTTTAAATTTATTAAAGATATTTTCAATAAAATTCTCTTGATTTATAACTCGTACCCACTTTTCTTGCTCTTCCGGACACTTTAGGCTGCCTAGTATAATAACTATCCTTAGTAACTATCCTTTCCACCAGGAACACAACAAAGATGAGGCATAGCACCAAAAACACACTCCACTTAAGCTTTATTGATGAATTGTTAGAGTCTTAAAAAACACACACAAAAATCACGATAAGTAAAAAATGTATGGGCACTTTTAGGTTAAATCACTTACACAACGTGTAATTTTTAAAATTTCTATTTTTTTATGCGAAACCGAGAGTGACCATATATCTGGTAGTAGTTTATGTCACTTCAACACCAAAATAATTAGTTTTTTGCACTACTATAATAAATAATACCAAAAATCAAAGAGTTAAAACCAAAAATCAACCGACAAAATATGAAACGGAATCTAACCCAATATCTAAGTATGTACAGCTGATGAAGTAAACAAAAGTCCGCCCGTAGGCTGATCTTTTAATAGAAGGCACTGGCTCACTTCAGCTCATTGTGTGTTTTTAATAATTCTATTGATTAAAAGATGGCAGCACATAATTTTAAAATAAATTCAAAATTTCAGGACCAAAATTATTTTATTTTGATTTTAATTAAATTGTTAAAGGAAATAAATGACAGAGAAATGATAATAATATAATATCAAATTTTATTTAATCTAGAATTAATCGAATAAAAGATAAGTCAAAAGAATTATTTTTGTCGTAGCAACGAGCACAACCAGACTACAAATAAACAGTTAAATTTAGTCACTTGGTCTAGTTAATTATTTTATGGTTGAGATAGGCTTAAAAATTAATTAATAAGTTATTTACAAACATATACCTAGATTTAGTGAATTATATTTATTACAAATATTGCACAATGGGTTTATTTCAAAAATTAGTTAGTTTTCTAGGTGTTGGACGAAAAGAAGTAAATGTTCTAGTAGTGGGCTTGAACAATAGTGGAAAATCCACTGTAGTGAACAATTTTAAAAGTGATGATGATAAAGTCACTGATATTGTACCTACTGTTGGATTTAGCGTGGAAAGATTCCAAAGTAAAATAAAATATATTTACAATTTAACGGTTACCGTGGCATGTTTTTTTAGAACAAAATCTAGCCTTCACTGCCTTTGATATGTCTGGCCATGGAAGATACAGAGATCTATGGGAACATTATTACAAAGACTGCCATGGAATCATTTTCGTAATAGATAGCAGTGACCGGTTAAGATTAGTTGTAGTTAAAGAGGAGTTAGACCTTCTTCTTCAGCACCCCGACATTTGCCAAAAGAAAATACCTATTCTGTTCTTCGCCAATAAAATGGACTGCAAAGAAGCCCTGAGTAGCGTTAAAATAGCAGCAGCTTTGGGTCTGGACAAAATCATGGATAAACCTTGGCATATCTCGGCTAGTAATGCTTTAACTGGTGAAGGTTTACAAGAAGGAGTAGAATGGTTGACGCAGCAAATCAGAGAATTATTAAGTGTGAAGAACTAATACAAACTAAATTTTATTGAAAGTAATAATAAAATACTGCATATCTTTAATGTTTAATGTCATTTTTACTATTCATGTAGATAAAAATTAACGCACAAAAACAACAGCACGTACCTTAGCGATTTACAAATGTTATAAATTTTGTCGCTTTTTGTTTTGGCCAACTTGTGAATTTTAATTACTTTCCAATTAATGATATACATATGATCGAAAAAAAAAACGGCGTCAGCGATGGCTATGAAATGAAGATCGCTGTCATTTTATATGTAAAATTATATGGGGAATGTCATCGATCGTCACTTCCAAGCCAATTGGACGCCGCTTTTTTTTCGATCTTACGGTATAATATGATCGAAAAAAAAAACTACGTCAGCGATGGCTATGAAATAAAGATCGCTGTTAATTTATATGTAAAATTATATGGGGAATGTTATCGATCATCATTTCCAAGCCAATTGAACGCCGTTTCTTTTTCGATAATACGGTAGAATGTTTATATTTCGAAATTAATATAAATCAAACTATTTATATTTAGTGTACTTATAAAATTTAGTAATACTGGAGCGCAGATTATTCAACGATAATTCTTTTGAAAAAAAATAGTGTTTCTATAATACCGTATGATCTAGAAAAAAAAACGGCATCCAGTTGGCTTGGAAATGACGATCGATAACCTTTTCCATATAATTTTACATATAAAATGACAGCGATCTTTATTTCATAGCCATCGCCAGCGCCGTTTTTTTTATCATATTATACATATTTCTATGTTCGGAAAATACTGTAATTATCGGTAAACCATGAGTAATATATTGAGAAAACAAGAAAATGTTGGAAAATATTGAAAATTTGTAAGAAGAACTATTTCAAAAACTATTAAATGAGTGTCCCATTTTCGTGTGATTTTTGGTGTTTCTGATTATATCATCGTGACATCAACGTTACTTACATCTACAATTCTGAATTGATTGTTATACACTAAATATTTTTATATTCTTATTAATAAAAAGGAGGTAAGGAGTTCTTTTTAATTTTTATTTTCCGTTGATTTCAATCAATACTTTCAATGAACAAATAAAATTTTTAATCACATTATGTTAGTATTTACTTACTTAATTTTTGTACTTTTAAAAAATATTAAAAAAAAAGTAATGCACTTTTTTTTTCTAGAAATAGTGCCTTGACTTGTAATTGTATGTTTTATTCCAAAAAACGACTATTTCTTCTTATTTCAGAATTCTGGAAACTGGGCGACATCTGTTAGGCATCTGGCGTTTAGAGCCAAATATTAAAAACACATTATGTGAAACGGGAAATTACATGCTAATCGCCTTTTGCTCTGGTCTCCCCTAAGCCCACTGGCGCATCCAAGGGAGTGTTGTCCCTTGCCGTCCTTTACAGCAAAAATAAAATGAATAAAATAAAAAAAATGAGTGTTGTAATTTACTCTTTAAAAAATATAATATGTAGCTATAGAAACTATCTATAGAAGTACATTAAATTTTTTGTCAATAATGCCTAAAATTATTCTTAAACACACACAGGCACGAAAAACGGACACTATATATATATATATATATATACATTTTTTTTTTTTTTTTCGTTTCGTTTCTTTGACCTGTATACTATATATTTTTTTGTTTTCACTCTTGGCTTTAGGTCGTTGGGGTTGCAAAGATGTTTCTAGATTTTGTTCATTATTTTTTTATTTTGTGACGACGTTTCGACAGTATATGTCTTTTTCAAGCCTCTTTAAGTACATAAAAACAGTCAGTTAAAATCAATAAGATAAAATGTCAAACTAAAAGGTCTTACCTTGAACGTAGATTCTTACAGAGTTAAAATTTGTTAAACTGGACAACACAATAACACATATTAACTATTGTTTTTAATTGTTTTTGGACATTACACTTTACTACGAGCACGTACGTATTTCCTTGCAGATCGCTCTGTATAAACCACATTTATCGGTTCAATACCCGATGTCTACTGTTCTTAGTGCGTTAGAGGATCGACAGATATATTTTGCTTAGATTTTTTAAAGACCAAATTTATAAGCAGATTGAGGGTTGTGCAATGGGGGCGTCGATTTCTAGTGTTGCAGCGCAAATGGTTATGGAACACTTGGAGAGTACAGTTCTATCTGATATCGATTTTGAAATACCCTTTTTTTATCGGTATGTTGATGACTGTCTAACAGCTATACCAAAAGAAAAAATTAGGTATATAGAAGAAAAATTTAATGCCTATAATAAACATATTCAATTTACGTCAGAAATAGAGAACGATAAAAAATTAACTTCTTAGATATTACTTTTACATCATACCAATCAAACCATAAAAACCGAATGGTATACAAAGAAAACTTGGTCCTCAAGATATCTCAATTTTTATCTAACCATCCAGCTAACCAAAAAGATCGGTGATAATTGGCTTGGCGGACAGATCAATTCGTCTATCCGACCCAGAATATAGAGATGCTGCAATAAAAAAAAAAAAAAATGCATTAAAAGAAAATAACCATCCACAAAAACTAATAAACAAAATATTCAAAGATAGACTCCAAAATTTCTTAAACACAAAAAACAATCAAAATCAAATAGAAAATAAAACATTAAAAAGATACACGATATATTGCGCTCCCCTTCGTAAATGGGTTGTCTCAACAATTACAAGGGTTACACAGAAAGTATAATATAACGATTTGTCATAAAGCACATAACTTGTTAGCTAATAATTTCTCTAAACTAAAATCTGTAACACCGTTAAACAAACGAAGCAATGTTATATATGAAATTCCATGTTCGAACTGCGCCCAAGTTTACATAGGACAAACTTCTCAATGGTTAGAAAATAGACTGAAAGGGCACAAGTATGATAAAAAAATGTAACTGCCCTCACAAATCATGTGTCAACAGAAAATCATACATTCGATTTTAATAAAACTAAAATTTTAAAAACAGAAAATCACCAAAAAAAGAGAGAATTTTATGAAATGGTGGAGATACAAAAAAACAAAAATGCGGTAAATGATAAAAAAGACCTAAAAAATCTAAGCAAAATATATCTGTCGATCCTCTAACGCACTAAGAACAGTAGACATCGGGTATTGAACCGATAAATGTGGTTTATACAGAGCGATCTGCAAGGAAATACGTACGTGCTCGTAGTAAAGTGTAATGTCCAAAAACAATTAAAAACAATAGTTAATATGTGTTATTGTGTTGTCCAGTTTAACAAATTTTAACTCTGTAAGAATCTACGTTCAAGGTAAGACCCTTTAGTTTGACATTTTATCTTATTGATTTTAACTGACTGTTTTTATGTACTTAAAGAGGCTTGAAAAGACATATACTGTCGAAACGTCGTCACAAAAATAAAAAATAATGAACAAAATCTAGAAACATCTTTGCAACCCCAACGACCTAAAGCCAAGAGTGAAAACAAAAAAATATATATATACATATATATATATATATATATATATATATATATATATATATATATATATATATATATATATATATATATATATATACTCAATATATATATATATATATATATATATATATATATATATATATATATATATATATATATATATATATATATATATATATATATATATATATATATATATATATATATATATATATATATATATATATATTATATATATATATATATAGGGGTAGCGGGTAGGTACACTCCTACGATCCCGGTGGTGGGTTAGACCTACTTCAGGAATGCGTTCCTGCCCACGCGAGCCTTGATTTGCTCTCACACTCCTTTTTCAGAGAGAAGTCATGTCCTAACCTTTAATCCTACCAAAGATTCCTCCTCCCTCCTCCTCCTCCTCCTCCCTCCTCCCTCCATACAGCGAATAGAAGAACAGGAGAATATATTGCTCATGTTTCAGGAAGCCAATCAAAACTATGAAGGGATACCGATGGGTACAAGGCCAAAAATACCAAGACTCAAAATGAATGCTGAATGTAAAACCACCATCACCTCAATTAATACTGCTCTAGAAAAATATTTTAATGAAGCGGACAGCCTTGAGAATCTCTGTCATAAAGTTTACTGCGCAGCTACACTAACCTGTAAAATTCTGAAGCAGGATAAATATAATTCGCCTGGAGGAGAACCCCAGAGCCCCCCATGGAAAAAACGGTTGGAAACAAAAATATCGAACTACCGAAAGGAAATAGGAATAATTCATAGTTATCTCAGTACCCAACAACCTAGCCGAAAACTTGTTAAGAAAATTAAAACGTGCGCGCGTAAACTTAAGGTGAAACCAGGGACCCTTTTACTGGAGCAAACATTGATACAAAGAGCGGAGACTCTAAAACAAAAAATAGCTGCTCTTGGAAAAAGACTGAAAAGATACCATAAAAGAACACTAAGATGTAAACAAAACACACTCTTCAACAATAATCAAAGACTGTTCTTCCGAAATCTTGAGGCCGAAATCACTGATGAACAACATGAACTCCCAAAAGAGACTGAGATGACAGAATTCTGGTCAGAAATTTGGGCTGAAAACATCCAACACGATCGGAAAGCACAGTGGATTAACATCGAAAAGGAGAATTCGGAAAAATACACGGAGATGCCCAACATCACAGTATCGAAAGACGACGTGCAAGCCACAGTAAAACGGATGAAAAACTGGACAGCGCCGGGAATGGACGGGATCCACAATTACTGGTGGAAGGCGTTATCAAATTCACACGAACCACTCGCACGCCTTATTCAAAATGCTATGAGAGACCCAAACAGCATACCCATATACTTCACGCAGGGGGAAACACATATGTTGCCTAAGAAAGGTGATTTAGCCAAGCCAAATAACTATAGGCCGATAACATGCCTTCCATCTGCATATAAAATTTTAACATCTATTTTATGCCATAAACTCAATTGTCATCTAAAACAAAATAATATTATGTCCTGGGAGCAAAATGGTTGCAAGCATAAAGGAAGAGGGTGTAAGGAACTGCTGATTATAGACAACATTGCCACCATGCAGGCAAGAAAACGTCAA